GGGAAAAACAGGGATTTCTATGAAAATAAGTGATACTTAAGGTTAAAAACAGGGATTTCTATGAAGATAAGCTGTATTTTAGAGGAAAAACAGGGATTTCTGTGAAAATAAGCGATATTTAAAGGGAAAAACAGGGATTTCTGTGAAAATAAGCGATATTTTAGGGGAAAAACAGGGATTTCTTTGAAAATAAGCGATATTTAAGTTTAAAAACAGGGATTTCTGTGAAAATAAGCGATATTTCAGGGGAAAAACAGGGATTCCTGTGAAAATAAGCGACATTATAGGGGAAAAACAGGGATTTCTGTGAAAATAAGTGATATTTAAGGGGAAAAACAGGGATTTCTGTGAAAATAAGCGATATTTTAGGGGAAAAACAGGGATTTCTGAGAAAATAAGCGATATTTTGGGGGAAAAACAGGGATTTCTATGAAGATATGCAATATTTTAGAGGAAAAACAGGGAATTCTGTGAAAATAAGCGATATTTTAGGGGAAAAACAGGGATTTCTGTGAAAATAAGCGATATTTCAGGGGAAAAACAGGGATTTCTGTGAAAACAAGCGATATTTAAGGTTAAAAACAGGGATTTCTGTGAAAATAAGCGACATTTTAGGGGAAAAACAGGGATTTCTGTGAAAATAAGCGACATTTTATAGGGAAAAACAGGGATTTCATTGAAAATAAGCGATATTTTAGGGGAAAAACAGGGATTTCTTTGAAAATAAGTGATACTTAAGGTTAAAAACAGGGATTTCTATGAAGATAAGCTATATTTTAGAGGAAAAACAGGGATTTCTGTGAAAATAAGCGATATTTAAAGGGAAAAACAGGGATTTCTATGAAAATAAGCGATATTTAAGTGAAAAAACAGGGATTTCTATGAAAATAAGCTATATTTTAGGGGAAAAACAGGGATTTCTGTGAAAATAAGCGATATTTTAGGGGAAAAACAGGGATTTCTGTGAAAATAAGCGATATTTTAGGGGAAAAACAGGGATTCCTGTGAAAATAAGCGACATTTTAGGGGAAAAACAGGGATTTCTGTGAAAATAAGCGATATTTTAGGGGAAAAACAGGGATTTCTGTGAAAATAAGCGATATTTTGGGGGAAAAACAGGGATTTCTATGAAGATAAGCAATATTTTAGGGGAAAAACAGGGATTTCTGTGAAAATAAGCGATATTTTAGGGGAAAAACAGGGATTTCTGTGAAAATAAGCGATATTTTAGGGGAAAAACAGGAATTTCTGTGAAAATAAGCGATATTTCAGGGGAAAAACAGGGATTTCTGTGAAAATAAGCGATATTTAAGGTTAAAAAAAGGGATTTCTGTGAAAATAAGCGATATTTAATGGGAAAAACAGGGATTTCTGTGAAAATAAGCGACATTTTAGGGGAAAAACAGGGATTTCTATGAAAATAAGCGATATTTTAGGGGAAAAACAGGGATTTCTGTGAAAATAAGCGATATTTCAGGGGAAAAACAGGGATTTCTGAGAAAATAAGTGATATTTTAGGTTAAAAACAGGGATTTCTGTGAAAATAAGAGTTATTTAAGGGGATAAACAGCGATTTCTGTGAAAATAAGCGATATTTAGGGGAAAAACAGGGATTTCCGTGAAAATAAGCGATATTTTAAGGGGAAAAACAGGGATTTCTGTGAAAATAAGCGATATTTTAAGGGGAAAAACAGGGATTTCTGTGAAAATAAGCTATATTTTAGAGGAAAAACAGGGATTTCTGTGAAAATAAGTGATATTTTAGAGGAAAAACAGGGATTTCTGTGAAAATAAGTGATATTTATGGGAAAAACAGGGATTTCTGTGAAAATAAGCGATATTTTAGGGGAAAAACAGGGATTTCTGTGAAAATAAGCGATATTTTAGGTTAAAAACAGGGATTTCTATGAAAATAAGCGATATTTTAGAGGAAAAACAGGGATTTCTGTGAAAATAAGCGATATTTTAGGGGAAAAACAGGGATTTCTGTGAAAATAAGTGATATTTTAGGTTAAAAACAGGGATTTCTGTGAAAATAAGCGATATTTCAGGGGAAAAACAGGGATTTCTGTGAAAATAAGCGATATTTAAGTTTAAAAAAAGGGATTTCTGTGAAAATAAGCAATATTTTAGGGGAAAAACAGGGATTTCTGTGAAAATAAGCGACATTTTATAGGGAAAAACAGGGATTTCATTGAAAATAAGCGATATTTTAGGGGAAAAACAGGGATTTCTGTGAAAATAAGCGATATTTTAGGGGAAAAACAGGGATTTCTATGAAAATAAGCTATATTTTACAGGAAAAACAGGAATTTCTGTGAATATAAGGGATATTTCAGGGGAATAACAGGGATTTCTGAGAAAATAAGTGATATTTTAGGTTAAAAACAGGGATTTCTGTGAAAATAAGCGACATTATAGGGGATAAACAGCGATTTCTGTGAAAATAAGCGATATTCTAGAGGAAAAGCAGGGATTTCCGTGAAAATAAGCGATATTTTAAGGGAAAAACAGGAATTTCTGTGAAAATAAGCGATATTTAAGGGGAAAAACTGGGATTTCTATGAAAATAAGCTATATTTTAGAGGAAAAACAGGGATTTCTGTGAAAATAAGTGATATTTTAGAGGAAAAACAGGGATTTCTGTGAAAATAAGCGATATTTTGGGGGAAAAACAGGGATTTCTGTGAAAATAAGCGATATTTAAGGTTAAAAACTGGGATTTCTGTGAAAATAAGCGATATTTAAGTTTAAAAACAGGGATTTCTATGAAAATAAGCGATATTTTAGGGGAAAAACAGGGATTTCTATGAAAATAAGCGATACTTTAGAGGAAAAACAGGGATTTCTATGAATATAAGGGATATTTTAAGGGAAAAACAGGGATTTCTGTGAAAATAAGCGATATTTTAGGGGAAAAACAGGGATTTCTGTGAAAATAAGCGATATTTTAAGGGAAAAACAGGGATTTCTATGAAAATAAGCGATACTTTAGAGGAAAAACAGGGATTTCTATGAATATAAGCGATATTTAAGGGGAAACACTGGGATTTCTGAGAAAATAAGCGATATTTTAGGTTAAAAACAGGGATTTCTGTGAAAATAAGTGATATTTTAGGGGAAAAAAAAAGGATTTCTATGAAAATAAGCAATATTTTAGGTTGAAAACAGGGATATCTGTGAAAATAAGTGATATTTTAGAGGAAAAACAGGGATTTCTGTGAAAAGTGATATTTCAGGGGAAAAACAGGGATTTCTGTGAAAATAAGTGATATTTCAGGTTAAAAACAGGGATTTCTGAGAAAATAAGCGACATTTTAGGGGAAAAACAGGGATTTCTGTGAAAATAAGCGATATTTCAGGTTAAAAACTGGGATTTCTGGGAAAATAAGAGATATTTTGCGGTTAAAAACAGGGATTTCTATGAAAATAAGCGATATTTCAGGGGAAAAACAGGGATTTCTATGAAAATAAGCGATATTTAAGTTTAAAAACAGGGATTTCTATGAAAATGAGCGATATTTAATGGGAAAAACAGGGATTTCTGTGAAAATGAGCGATAGTTAAGTTTAAAAACAGGGATTTCTGTGAAAATAAGCGACATTTTATAGGGAAAAACAGGGATTTCTATGAAAATAAGCGATATTTTAGGGGAAAAACAGGGATTTCTGTGAAAATAAGCGATATTTAAGGGGAAAAACAGGGATTTCTGAGAAAATAAGCAATATCTAAGGGGAGAACAGGGATTTCTGAGAAAATAAGCGACATTTTAGGGGAAAAACAGGGATTTCTATGGAAATAAGCGACATTTAAGTTTAAAAACAGGGATTTCTGTGAAAATAAGCGATATTTTAGGGGAAAAACAGGGATTTCTGTGAAAATAAGCGATATTTTAGGTTAAAAACAGGAATTTCTGTGAAAATGAGCGACATTTTAGGGGAAAACAGGGATTTCTATGAAAATAAGCGATATTTAAGTGAAAAAACAGGGATTTCTGAGAAAATAAGTGATATTTAGGGGAAAAACAGGGATTTCTGTGAAAATAAGCGATATTTAAGGGGAAAAACAGGGATTTCTGTGAAAATAAGCGATATTTTACGGTTAAAAACAGGGTTTTCTATGAAAATAAGGAATATGTCAGGGGAAAAACAGGGATTTCTATGAAAATAAGCGATATTTTAGGGGAAAAACTGGGATTTCTAAGAAAATGAGCGATATTTTAGGGGAAAAACAGGGATTTCTGCGAAAATAAGCGATATTTAAGGTTAAAAACAGGGATTTCTGTGAAAATAAGCGACATTTTAGGGGAAAAACAGGGATTTCTGTGAAAATAAGCGATATTTTAGGTTATAAAACAGGGATTTCTGAGAAAATAAGCGATATTTTAGGTTAAAAACAGGGATTTCTATGAAAATAAGCGATATTTTAGGGGAAAAACAGGTATTCCTTTGAAAAGTGATATTTTAGGGGAAAAACAGGGATTTCTGTGAAAATAAGCGATATTTAAGTTTAAAAACAGGGATTTCTGTGAAAATAAGCAATATTTAAGGGGAAAACAGGGATTTCTGAGAAAATAAGCGATATTTTTTGGGAAAAACAGGGATTTCTATGAAAGTAAGCGATATTTAAGTTTAAAAACAGGGATTTCTGTGAAAATAAGCGACATTTTAGGGGAAAAACAGGGATTTCTATTGAAAATAAGCGATATTTAAGGTTAAAAACAGGGATTTCTATGAAAATAAGCGATATTTAAGGGGAAAAACAGGGATTTCTGTGAAAGTAAGCGATATTTAAGTTTAAAAACAGGGATTTCTGTGAAAATAAGCGATATTTTAGGGGAAAAACAGGGATTTCTATGAAAATAAGCGATATTTAAGGTTAAAAACAGGGATTTCTGTGAAAATAAGCGATATTTCAGGGGAAAAACAGGGATTTCTATGAAAATAAGCGATATTTAAGTTTAAAAACAGGGATTTCTGTGAAAATAAGTGATATTTAAGGGGAAAAACAGGGATTTCTATGAAAATAAGCGATATTTAAGGTTAAAAACAGGGATTTCTGTGAAAATAAGCGATATTTAAGGTTAAAAACAGGGATTTCTATGAAAATAAGCGATATTTTAGGTTAAAAACAGGGATTTCTGTGAAAATAAGCGATATTTTAGGGGAAAAACAGGGATTTCTGTGAAAATAAGCGATATTTTAGGGGAAAAACAGGGATTTCTGTGAAGATAAGCTATATTTTAGAGGAAAAACAGGGATTTCTGTGAAAATAAGCGATATTTAAAGGGAAAAACAGGGATTTCTATGAAAATAAGCGATATTTAAGTGAAAAAACAGGGATTTCTGTGAAAATAAGCGATATTTTAAGGGAAAAACAGGGATTTCTGTGAAAATAAGCGATATTTAAGGTTAAAAACAGGGATTTCTGTGAAAATAAGCGATATTTTAGGGGAAAAACAGGGATTCCTGTGAAAATAAGCGACATTTTAGGGGAAAAACAGGGATTTCTGAGAAAATAAGTGATATTTAAGGGGAAAAACAGGGATTTCTGTGAAAATAAGCGATATTTTAGTGGAAAAACAGGGATTTCTATGAAAATAAGCGATATTTTGGGGGAAAAACAGGGATTTCTATGAAGATAAGCAATATTTTAGAGGAAAAACAGGGATTTCTGTGAAAATAAGCGATATTTTAGGGGAAAAACAGGGATTTCTGTGAAAATAAGCGATATTTTAGGGGAAAAACAGGGATTTCTGTGAAAATAAGCGATATTTCAGGGGAAAAACAGGGATTTCTGTGAAAATAAGCGATATTTAAGGTTAAAAAAAGGGATTTCTGTGAAAATAAGCGATATTTAATGGGAAAAACAGGGATTTCTGTGAAAATAAGCGATATTTTATAGGGAAAAACAGGGATTTCATTGAAAATAAGCGATATTTTAGGGGAAAAACAGGGATTTCTGTGAAAATAAGCGATATTTAAGTTTAAAAACAGGGATTTCTGTGAAAATAAGCAATATTTAAGGGGAAAAACAGGGATTTCTGTGAAAATAAGCGATATTTTAGGGGAAAAACAGGGATTTCTATGAAAATAAGCGATATTTAAGTGAAAAAACATGGATTTCTATGAAAATAAGCGATATTTTAGTGGAAAAACAGGGATTTCTGTGAAAATAAGCGATATTTTAGGTTAAAAACAGGGATTTCTGTGAAAATAAGCGATATTTTAGGGGAAAAACAGGGATTCCTGTGAAAATAAGCGACATTTTAGGGGAAAAACAGGGATTTCTGTGAAAATAAGTGATATTTAAGGTAAAAAAACAGGGATTTCTGTGAAAATAAGCGATATTTTAGGTTAAAAACAGGGATTTCTATGAAAATAAGAGATATTTTAGGTTAAAAACAGGGATTTCTATGAAAATAAGAGATATTTAAGGGGAAAAACAGGGATTTCTGTGAAAATAAGCGATATTTAAAGAAAAAAACAGGGATTTCTGTGAAAATAAGCGATATTTTTGGGGAAAAACAGGGATTTCTGAGAAAATAAGCGATATTTTGGGGGAAAAACAGGGATTTCTATGAAGATAAGCGATATTTTAGAGGAAAAACAGGGATTTCTCTGAATATAAGGGATATTTTAGAGGAAAAACAGGGATTTCACTGAAAATAAGCGATATTTTAGGGGAAAAACAGGGATTTCTGTGAAAATAAGCGATATTTTGGGGGAAAAACAGGGATTTCATTGAAAATAAGCGATATTTAAGGTTAAAAACAGGGATTTCTGTGAAAATAAGCGATATTTAATGGGAAAAACAGGGATTTCTGTGAAAATAAGCGACATTTTATAGGGAAAAACAGGGATTTCTGAGAAAATAAGTGATATTTTAGGTTAAAAACAGGGATTTCTGTGAAAATAAGCGATATTTTAGGGGAAAAACAGGGATTTCTGTGAAAATAAGCGATATTTTAGGAGAAAAACAGGGATTTCTGTGAAAATAAGCGATATTTCAGGGGAAAAACAGGGATTTCTGAGAAAATAAGTGATATTTAAGGTTAAAAACAGGGATTTCATTGAAAATGAGCGATATTTTAGAGGAAAAACAGGGATTTCTGTGAAAATAAGCGATATTTAAGGGGAAAAACAGGGATTTCTGTGAAAATAAGTGACATTTTAGGGGAAAAACAGGGATTTCCAGTAAAATATGCGATATTTTAGGAGAAAAACAGGGATTTCTGTGAAAATAAGCGTTATTTAAGGGGATAAACAGCGATTTCTGTGAAAATAAGCGATATTCTAGAGGAAAAACAGGGATTTCCGTGAAAATAAGCGATATTTTAAGGTAAAAACAGGGATTTCTATGAAAATAAGCGATATTTAAGGGGAAAAACGGGGATTTCTGTGAAAATAAGTGATATTTTAGAGGAAAAACAGGGATTTCTCTGAAAATAAGCGATATTTATGTAAAAAGACAGCGATTTCTGTGAAAATAAGCGATATTATAGTTAAAAAACTGGGATTAATGTGAAAATAAGCGATATTTAAGTTTAAAAACAGGGATTTCTATGAAAATAAGGAATATTTAAAGGGAAAAACAGGGATTTCATTGAAAATGAGCGATATTTTAGGGGAAAAACAGGGATTTCTGTGAAAATAAGCGATATTTCAGGGGAAAAACAGGGATTTCTATGAAAGTAAGCGCTATTTAAGTTTAAAAACAGGGATTTCTGAGAAAATAAGCGATATTTAAGGTTAAAAACAGGGATTTCTGTGAAAATAAGCGATATTTATGGTTAAAAACAGGGATTTCTATGAAAATAAGCGATATTTAAGGGGAAAAACAGGGATTTCTGTGAAAATAAGCGATATTTAAGGGGAAAAACAGGGATTTCTGTGAAAATAAGTGATATTTTAGCATAAAAACAGGGATTTCTGTGAAAATAAGCGATATTTAAGTTTAAAAACAGGGATTTCTGTGAAAATAAGCGATATTTTAGGGGAAAAACAGGGATTTCTATGAAAATAAGCGATATTTAAGTGAAAAAACAGGGATTTCTATGAAAATAAGCGATATTTTAGGGGAAAAACAGGGATTTCTGTGAAAATAAGCGATATTTTATGGGAAAAACAGGGATTCCTGTGAAAATAAGCGACATTTTAGGGGAAAAACAGGGATTTCTGTGAAAATAAGTGATATTTAAGGGGAAAAACAGGGATTTCTGTGAAAATAAGCGATATTTTAGGGGAAAAACAGGGATTTCTGAGAAAATAAGCGCTATTTTGGGGGAAAAACAGGGATTTCTATGAAGATAAGCAATATTTTAGAGGAAAAACAGGGATTTCTGTGAAAATAAGCGATATTTTAGAGGAAAAACAGGGATTTCTGTGAAAATAAGCGATATTTAAGGGGAAAAACAGGGATTTCTGAGAAAATAAGCGATATTTCAGGGGAAAAACAGGGATTTCTGTGAAAATAAGCGATATTTTAGAGGAAAAACAGGGATTCCTGTGAATATAAGGGATATTTTAGGGGAATAACGGGGATTTCTGAGAAAATAAGTGATATTTTAGGTTAAAAACAGGGATTTCTGTGAAAATAAGCGATATTTTAGAGGAAAAACAGGGATTTCTGTGAATATAAGGGATATTTCAGGGGAATAACGGGGATTTCTGAGAAAATAAGTGATATTTTAGGTTAAAAACAGGGATTTCTATGAAAATAAGCGATATTTTAGAGGAAAAACAGGGATTTCTCTGAATATAAGGGATATTTTTGGGGAATAACGGGGATTTCTGAGAAAATAAGTGATATTTTAGGTTAAAAACAGGGATTTCTGTGAAAATAAGCTATATTTTAGGAGAAAAACAGGGATTTCTGTGAATATAAGGGATATTTCAGGGGAATAACAGGGATTTCTGAGAAAATATGTGATATTTAAGGTTAAAAACAGGGATTTCATTGAAAATGAGCGATATTTTAGAGGAAAAACAGGGATTTCTGTGAAAATAAGTGATATTTTAGGGGAAAAACAGGGATTTCTGTGAAAATAAGCGACATTTTAGGGGAAAAACAGGGATTTCTATGAAAATAAGCGATATTTAAGTTTAAAAACAGGGATTTCTGTGAAAATAAGCGACATTTTAGGGGAAAAACAGGGATTTCCAGTAAAATATGCGATATTTTAGAGGAAAAACAGGGATTTCTGTGAAAATAGGCGTTATTTTAGGGGAAAAACAGGGATTTCTGTGAAAATAAGCGATATTTTAGGGGAAAAACAGGGATTTCTATGAAAATAAGGGATATTTTAGGGGAAAAACAGGGATTTCTATGAAAATAAGCAATATTTTTGAGGAAAAACAGGGATTTCTGTGAAAATAAGTGATATTTTAGAGGAAAAACAGGGATTTCTCTGAAAATAAGCGATATTTATGTGAAAAGAAGGGATTTCTGTGAAAATAAGCGATATTTATGGTTAAAAACAGGGATTTCTGTGAAAATAAGCGATATTTTAGGGGAAAAACAGGGATTTCTGTGAAAATAAGCGATATTTTGGGGGAAAAACAGGAATTTCTGTGAAAATAAGTGATATTTTAGGTTAAAAACAGGGATTTCTGTGAAAATAAGTGATATTTAAGTTTAAAAACAGGGATTTCTATGAAAATAAGCGATATTTTAAGGGAAAAACAGGGATTTCTATGAAAATAAGTGATACTTTAGAGGAAAAACAGGGATTTCTATGAATATAAGGGATATTTTAAGGGAAAAACAGGGATTTCTATGAAAATAAGAGATATTTTAGGAAAAAACTGGGAATTCTATGAAAATAACCGATATTTTAGGGGAAAAACAGGGATTTCTATGAAAATAAGCGATATTTTAGGGGAAAAACTGGGATTTCTGTGAAAATAAGCGATATTTTAGGGGAAAAACAGGGATTTCTTTGAAAATAAGCGATATTTTAGTGGAAAAACAGGGATTTCTGTGAAAAGTGATATTTTAGGGGAAAAACAGGGATTTCTGTGAAAATAAGCGATATTTCAGGTTAAAAACAGGGATTTCTGTGAAAATAAGCGATATTTTAGGGGAAAAACAGGGATTTCTGTGAAAATAAGCGATATTTCAGGTTAAAAACAGGGATTTCTGAGAAAATAAGAGATATTTTAAGGGATAAACAGGGATTTCTATGAAAATAAGCGATATTTTAGGGGAAAA